CACCCCCCCTCCCTGCGAAAACAAAAAAGCTTGGGGGGGGGGGGGGGTGGTGAATTTAAAGTATGTTAACGACAGAACTTCAAAAACCAAATACGCATATAACTAATTGGATAGCAGTGTCTTCATAAGCATGGAAAAATAAAAATTTATAAATTTTAAGCATTTCTTAAGGCTGTGATTACATGCATTCAAAATTTATAGATGGTCAAAGAAAAAAATAGTTTTGAAGATAACTGCACACACCAATTACATGGTTTCAACCAATCATATCAATTCTTTCCTTAATTAGTTTTAAAGATTGTTATAACAGAAATGACCCTGAAAGAATTAACTAAGAAAGAGAACACATTTATTATATATCTTCAATTGTTTTTGTGCAGTTATAAAAGCAACTGCCATTGAAGTTGGCTAGATGAATCACAAGATGTCATTATGATTGATTAAAAATCAAATTCTCGGGGATATATTTACCATAAGATCTCTTTTTGGCCATTTCCTCCAAAGTCGTACTCCGTCTTCCTTTAACCCTTTTAACAAGGCTAAAAACCATAATCTACTCTCCCTATTGTTGCTTCTAGTGACCTTATTTGCACATGTCAAACCACAATCGATTTTTTATCAACTTTCCTCGATACTTGTCACACCAATATCTCCTCAATACAATCATTTTGTCTCTTGACCTTTCTCGTATAGACATGAATCCATCTTAACATTCTCATTTCTTTTGCTACACAATTTTTCCCTTGCCACTTTAAAGTCTAACACTCACTACCATATATTATAGTTGAATGTATGGCAGTGCGGTAAAACTTTCCTTCGAGTTTCATAGATACTTAACAGATAACCGTTGATGTCTTTTCCATTTTAACCACCCAGCTTGTATCTTGTGTAAGACGTCATTAATTTCCTCATCCTTTTGTAGTTTTTTTAACTATATTTTTGTCATTTCTCATTCACTTCACTTCCCTTTACATTTCTCTTATTCCAAACAACTTAAAAATTTACTTATTTTCTCATAATTTTCTTACTACTCATTCTTTCAATTTTCTCTCTTTCAATTTTATTCTTTCAAATCAATCGAAGGGTAAATAATTTTCATGCAAAATAGCATTGTCCTTAATTAAATAGAGATCCAAGTGATCAACGAGATTACAACAAGGATTAACACCTATTGTGGCTGTAATGTTGTTGCAGTGCTTCCTGCAACCACAACAGCTCGCAATTGCAGTATGGTTTAAAATCATAGGAAAATCAGTAATGCAACCGCAATACAACCACAATAAAGCAACGACACCATTTTATTCACTTTTAAAAAAAATAAATAAATAAACCTACAAGTTTTAATCCTTATTCTAATAAGCATGGTCACATGAGATGTTTGGAAAGGGAGGAAGACAACTAATGATGCTTGGTTGAAGTGTTGGGAGGCTACATGATGCATTTTAGGAAAGGTAAAAGGGGGTGTGCATTAAAAAATTGTGAAAAGTGGTTTGATTGATTTTTATTATTATAGAAGTTGTTTACAGTTGTTACAAATATATAATAATTTCATGTTGCAAAAACCACAATTCGTATTGCAATGGCCGCAACCAAAGTAGTTGCAACCGCAACTACAATTTATAACTATGACTGGAACCAATGCCTCACAGCATGCTTTTGAAAAATGAATAAGTCCTCATACAAGAATCAAGAGAGGAAATAAATGGAAAACTTGAGTTTCATAGAGAAGCTAAGCTGTTGAATGACAGTTTGCAGTTTAAATCAAGACAGTATATACAGAATCGAAGTTCGGAAAAACTAGGATGAAAGTAAAAAATTCTTTGGTCATTATTTTTAATTGAAAAGTGACTTCCAAGCTTTGGAATTTTCTTTCAACATTAAAACCAGATCTGCCTTATTATGGTGTCAAATGTAGAGCAATAAAGTGTCAACAAGAGGATAAGTGTAGTGGAGATGAGAATATTGCAACAGATGACTGCACATTCAAGATTAGCAATGACTGTAGCAAAGAGGAATCCTTGGTAACTAGAGGAAAAGTTGACAAAACTTACCTAAGATGGTTTGATAACGATATAATTCAAACAGGCACAGTAAAAGAAATTGACAAAATGGAGGATAGCCATATACAACTGGGGTAGAGGAAGACAATTGAAAAGTGAGTGAAACCATCAAAAAAATCCTTTATCAAAATGGCCATACTAAAAACATTGTATTAAGAAAACATGATGGTATCATTTGATCCACGTAGCCTACCCCAAGTAGTGGAAAAAGGCTTTTATTGCTCATATTCCCATTGAAGTGATCAACAACAGCTTTATATGACTATTTACCCAATTTTTACCATTCCTTAATGATTTAGAAAATGTCTTCTATTTGATTTCATATGGAAGTGCCTGGTAATTTTTCTCCCCAAGATAAATTGCATTCTTATTATTTGTACATAAATAGCCCTTTTTCAAACTAGCATGTGGGCAAAATGCTCTCTATTCATTCTTGCCCTCAACCAATTGCAATAAATAAAAGTAAATGGGGAGGAAACTTTGTTACTTAGTGATTCTGAAACTTGTGTAGTTCAGCAAAAGATATCATGATGATTTAACAAATTAGGAAGATATGAAGTCATAAAATAATATTCATAGGAAGCTTGTAAAAGCCACTCACACATGTTCATAATAACAGCATACAAACCATATATAAAATGAAATCATTCTAAGATAAAAGATTATCAATGTATTTTTTTTTTTTTGCTTTCACACCAGTGTCCTAAGGCTTCGCCTTAAACTAATCTAATTCAGTCAGGAGATAAGTAAAGTTTGGCCAAGAATTGTTTCCACCAAGGATCGAACTTGGGCATTGTTCAAACAATTCAACCTTAGGTTCAACATATTAACCACTTGCATCCAACTCCTTGGTTATCAATGTATATAAACAATTTATTTCATTCAGAAAATGAAAGCACTAACTAATTGCACATGGAGAGAAAAGTCTGCAACATATATAGCAACAAGTTCTTATATAAATTGCACCATTCAGCAAATCACATCACTTAAAATAGCCATAGCCAAAACTGGGAGTCAAATACCCAATCACCAACCACAAACTTAATATCACAAAGTAACACCAGGTATGAAAGCTAAGTAATGTAAAAACAAATATTACAAAGGTTGTTATCTCATGCAAGTAATACTACAGACACAATTTACCTGTGAAGTGTGTAAAGATTGCGGACGCTCCTATCAGCATCAGGTGATAGATATTTTCCATCCTCACGATCAAGATCAAGTTGTAAGGGAAACTCATAACGGTCATTAATCTATATAGCGAGAGCGTGAAGAAAAAATCAATCTTCGATGTATTGAAAAACAGGGTAATCAATAAAAGTGTGCAAAAATTGACAGACATATAAACACCCATGATTATAGCTAATCCTCATGCTCACTATTGCAGAAAATATTCCAGCGGTATAATGGTTTCAAGTGATATAAGTAAAAATACATACAACACCCCCAACCCCAATCTATGACCAGCAGCACTGAAAATGAACAATTGTGAAACAAGAGAAAGTAAATATTAACAAAAATGCCCTAGGTTCCACTGTGTACTTGAGTTCCTTAACGCACTCTCCTTTAAATTCCACACAACAAACCACTTCTTTGTAATATCACCAACCAATTTAGTTCAAGCTGCCTCCCAAAAACAATATGTGCCAAATCAATGCTTTAATCCCAGTGTTTTTCAATTCCATAAGGCACTATCCTCTAAACTCCACACAACAAACCACTTCTTTGTAACACCACCAACCAATTTAGTTCAAGATGCCTTGCAAATACAATATACATGCCAAATCAATGTTTTAAATTCCAGACAGCAACTCATAGCAGCCAAACCAAAATACATCATAGTGGGATAGCCACAATTTTTTATGTTGTTTATAGCAGGTATACTGTATACTTATAAATTCTCAAAAATGATAAAATATTACTCAAAATTAACAACATTCATTAATGACAATAAAACGTCATGTGTCTTGAACAAAACTTAAAAGTAAATACCAACAATAGTCCAATACAAGATTCCTAGATAGGATTCATCACTCATGGTTAAGTTTTTAAGAAGTTTTTTTATATGCAATGCAAAAAGAAAATGTTTTTGGATTTTCTAGGAACAAAACTAACACTTGGAGGTCTAAGTATACAAATTGCACTATCAAGGGAGGTGAGATACTAAGAGACACTTAATAACCAAGTCATTTCAAGTGGAAATTACTAAACCCCCTTATGGTAGCTTCAATTCCACAAAACTTTTCACAAAAATTTGGATGCCTTATGATTTTCAAAAAAAATTCTTGAGTTTTCTCTAAACGTAAGCAAGATATAAGCTACACAAACTAGTCAAATTTACCAAGGTACAACAAGAAAAGAAATTAAAAAATAACAAGGAACAAGAATTCACAAGCTAGTCAGTTTCCCTAAGTGGAAGCTTGAAATCATATGAAATTTTAAAGCCACTTCCACTAGATCTACATGTGATTGGGCTATAAAGGTTTAGATATACCTGACCAACTTCTTAATACTCCCTCCAAGTTATTACAAATGAATTAAAACAAAGAAAATTGCAAGAAAACACAAACTAGCCTAAAATAGATTTAGAGACAGAATTTGCAACGGAATTAGAGACGGATTTCTGGTGACAGATTTCCAACAACCAAAATTAGTCTCTAAATTCGTCTCTAAGTTGGAGTTTCTTCTTTGATCTCTACACTTGCACAAGGAACAAAATAAGTCTAGAAAAATTGAGGCCACCTCACAATGAAGAAGGTACGATCACTCTTGTGATGGTAGTTTTAGAAGGATCAAGGTTTTGAGTAATGTCTCTCCTTCACAACTTTATAGTCTTAGAGTTTTCTTCCTTCCTCTAGGTTTTGTGAGTCAATGTTTACTTTTTTTTCAAAGGTTTGATGCAACTTCCATCTAAGAGTCCAAGGATAAAACAAAAAAAGAACAATTAGAAATAGCTAAACCAAAGTAGAATAAGAATTTGACATACACAAAGAGTTCCAAACAAGACTAAAAAGACTAAAAAATTATGACACAACTACAAGGATGGCACACAAACAGAAAGTCCTAAATTAGCTCTACATTGGATTAACAAAACCAAAAATTAAACAAGAAAAGAATTAGAAGATGATTCAAGAAATCACAATCTGGTTCAAGTTTGAGTGGCACAAAATAATATTCTATGTTCCTCCTTTGGCTTTTTCTACTTTGATCTTTTCTTTTCTCTTTTTTTTTCATAAATTTTCTTTTTCAATTATTTTCTTGATTCACTTAAGGAGTTTCTTGCCTTTCTCCAGAAAATTTTTCCAGCCACTAAATTCAAAGAGACAAATCCGGATTGGTTTCAAATTTTTCAGCTAAAAGTAGTCCAAATTTTGTAGCAATTTTGGTGCATTCTCTAGGTCACACTTTGCTTGTTTCAAATCAACACTTCTTCAAAAAATTTTTAACACTTTTGGTTCTATTTTCCCCCTGTTTTCAAGTACTTTTCCATATTTATAAACTTCAACCCATGCACCAAAATATATCTACTACAAGTAGCCAAAAATTCTAGAAAATTGATCACAATTTCTTTTAAGAGATTCTCTTGGAATTTAATCAATACAAACAATGAAGACAAAATGGAAACCTAACTCTAAGAATCCACCAATGAACTAGTGATGGATATGAATTCAAAATTGCAAATCAAAAAGCACAAAGATAAGGCACCAAATGTTAAGCTCTCGGCCAAAGCAAATCAAAAAGAATTGAATCAAAACAAAATAGGTTTAACTAAGCATATCTTGAGTTTATGAAATTCAAATGACTACACATGACTCTAGACAATTATAAGATTCAAAAATTGAAAATCACATGCAATGAATCAAAGATGACCGAATCAAAATCAAGATCAAGACTGAATACAAAAGAAAATCGCACAAGTAGAAGCCTAGACTCATGGTAATTGCCGGATTGAACAAAATAAGCAATCACCTCATTGGATCCATCAAAATTTGCACAAAAACTAGATCCAAATAGCAAGACTAAGATGAGACAATCAAGAACTTAAAACACTCAAAAAGAATCGGTGAAAGTGTGCACATAACCTCAAAGAAGAACCAATGCTCTTGATACCAAAAATGATGGCAACTCCAAGTGAAGATGAATGATATTCTTCACTCTTTGAGTTGCATGACCACTTGATCACTTCTTTAAGGAAGCTAGACGTGAATCCAGCCAAGGATGAGAAGGTTGAAGACGGATGATGAAGGAGAAGGAAGCACCAATGCAAAGTGAGTAAGAAATTACTCACAAAAGTTGACCTAATTCCTAGAAGGAGTGTAAGAACTACTCGACCAAGGGACTTTGAAGGGAGAGAAAAGCTGAAGCAATTTTCAGAAAATTCTCTATAATGATCAAAGTGATTAAATAAGGAAGGAAACTAGCATATATAGGTCACGAATCAATGGAAAAAATGGCACCACCTCCATGTGCTCCAATTGGCACCAATTTTGAATTCAAATTTGGACATCTACTATGCTCTCCCATGTAGCAGCCACCTTTCTATAATCCTAATTACATTCATGTGTAATTTAGGGTTCATTTGAGTGATCACATGAGCCACCCTTGGCACAAAGCATGTGACTCAAATGTAACTCTAATTACTCTTAAATGTAATTACAATTCTATGATTCATGCCTATTACTTATTTCCTTTAAATTCCTATTCTAATGGCCTAAATACAATGGCCAACCAAATACAAAGGAAAGGAAAAATTACAAGAATCAAAATGAGCCCAATATGGGGTACCAAAAGCACAAAGGCCCATGAAGCCCAAAACTAGGCCCAATAAGCCTATGGCCCAAAATGCTACTCTATGTGGCCCAAAATACAATATCAAAATATATGAAACCTATACTAATATAATATATACAAAATATAAGAAAATGAATATCTCAAGATATGGACCATGTAAGGATCAACTTGGGCCTTCCAAGCCCATCGGGCCCATTAGACTTTTTGACTGACCCAAATCTTCATGTCTAGCCCATTCCTTTTAGTTCCTTCAAGGTATCACCTCTTGCCCTCCTAGGCATGATTCCATCAATCTTCAAAAATAATTAACCTTAGGTCTAGTGTTAGGGATGAACTTAGACAATTAAAAGAATACTTGAGAATAAAAGAGGAAGAAAATATAAAAAAGAGAGGAAAAGTTGAGAAAAAGAGAAAAAGAGAATGAGAAAAACAATGAAGAAATAAAAAGGATGCTTGCTAGATTAGTTGTGGGAGGGAAGGCTAGTGGATCAAACCCTAAATTTCCCCAACCTAAGTCCTCAAAGGGTAAGGGGGTTAGAATACTTTCTAGTGTTCATGAGGAGGAAGGGCATCATACCCAACCTCCAAGTGAGATCTTTTATAGTAGTCATCACAATGATGATTACTATCAAAGACCCCCAAGGTCACATAGACATAGGGAGTCTTCCAATAGGGAACCCAACATAACCCTTCCCCCATTTCATGACAAAGACAATGTTGAAAATTATTTAGATTGGGAAATGAAAGTGGAACAATTTTTCTCTTGCCATGGAGTGAGTGAAGAAAGGAAGGTTTCTTTGGCAACCCTTAGCTTCCAAGGGCATGCCATGTATTGGTGGACCTACTTAGAAAAAGAAATGAGAATAAATCAAGAGCCCCCAATCCAATATTGGAATGAACTCCGTAGTGCCTTGAGAAAGAGGCATATTCCTCCATACTATGACCGAGAGCTTATGGATAAGCTACAAATGTTGAAACAAGGGTCGTCTAGTGTGGAAGAATATAGACAATCTATGGAGTTACTAATGATGAGGGTTGGGGTAAGGGAAGAAGAGAGGACCACCATCTCAAGATTACAAAGTGGTCTTAACCTTGAAATAAGAGACAAAGTTGAACTCCTACCATATAGAGATTTGAATGAGCTTGTTCAACTTTGTTCTAGAGTGGAACATCAACTTAAAAGAAAAACTTTTAGAAAAGACTTCACTCTCTCTTATTCCAAGAGTTTCAAGAAGGAGGGCCCCTCTTCCAAACCTTTTCCTAATGAAAAAGAAAAAGAAAAAGATAAAACCTCTCATAGGACATCTTCCAAGGAAACTAAGACCAGTGACATCAAGTGCTTTAAGTTTCTTGGTTGAGGGCACATTGCCTCTCAATGTCCAACAAAGAAAACCATGATTTTAAGGGGCTAAGACCACTATAGTAGCCTTGATGAAGCTACTTCTTCTCCTTCAAGTGATGAGGAAGAACTCTTAGAGTTCGAGGAAGAAACTTACCCTTGTGAAGGAGACTTATTAATGGTTAGAAGGCTTCTTGGAAACCAATCTAGTGATTTAGATCAATCCCAAAGAGATAATTTGTTTCATACAAGGTGCAAGGTTTTAGAAAATACTTGTTCTCTCATTGTAGATAGTGGATCTAGTTGTAATTGTTGTAGCATTAGATTAGTGGATAAGTTAGCCTTAACTACTATACCTCATCCAAAACCTTTCAAATTACAATGGATCAATGAGGAGGGAGGTATTGTAGTTAATCAACAAGTGAGTATACCTATCTCCATTGGCAAATACAAAGATAATGTTTTGTGTGACATAATGCCATTGGATGCTAGTCATATTCTACTTGGAAGGCCTTGGCAATTTGACAAAAAAACTATTCATGATGGCCTTACCAACAAAATAAGTTTCCATCACTTAGGCAAGAAGATTATGTTATGTCCTTTATCACCTTCTCAAGTGAGTGAGGACCAACTCAAAATGAAAGTCAAAAGAGAGGATGAAGAAAAAAAAGGAGAAAACAAAAGAAAGGAAAAAAAAAACCTTCCCTTAAAGAATAAAGAAGGAGAAGAGAAGGTACCAAGTTTAGAGGCAAGTGTCCCTTCTAAAGAAGTTGTTCACAAAAGTCATTTATCCCTTAAAAATGACATTAAGAAAAAAAATTTCATTAAACAACCTTTCTACCTTCTCTATTTCAAAGAGACACTAGCTGCAACTAGTCATGAGCTTGAGTCTCTACCTCAAGAGGTTCAAAAACTTTTGAAAGAGTTTGATGACCTATTTCCTCAAGAAGTTCCAAGTGGACTTCCACCTTTAAGAGGAATAGAACATCAAATAGACCTCATACTAGGTTCTAGTCTTCCTAATAGGCCCACCTATAGGACTAACCCTCAAGAAACCAAAGAGATAGAAGCTCAAGTTGATGACTTGTTGAAGAAGGATTGGGTTCAAAAGATCCTTAGCCCTTGTGTCGTCCCCGTTCTCTTGGTTCCTAAGAAAGATGGCAAAGGGAGGATGTGCAATGATTGTAGAGCCATCAATAACATAACAATAAAATATAGGCACCCAATCCCTAGGCTAGATGATATGTTAGACGAATTGCATGGAGCCATCATATTTTCCAAGATTGACCTTAAAAGTAGTTATCACCAAATTCGAATCAAAGAGGGTAATGAGTGGAAAACTGCTTTTAAAACCAAATTTGGTTTGTATGAGTGGTTAGTGATGCCTTTTGGCCTTAATAATGCCCCTAGCACCTAATGAATCATATTTTTAGGAATTGCATAGGAAAGTTTTTGGTCATCTACTTTGATGACATCTTTGTATATAGCAAAACCTTAGATGAACATCTTGGACATTTAAGGCAAGTTCTAATAATTCTTAGAGACAACCACCTCTATGCCAACCTTGAAAAATGCACTTTTTGTTAAGAACAAGTAAATGTTTTGGGCTTCATAGTTGGCAAGGAGGGAGTACAAGTTGACTCTGAGAAAATAAAGGCTATCCAAGAATGGCCCAACCCAAAGAGTGTTGGAGAAGTTAGAAGTTTTCATGGCTTAGCTAGCTTCTATAGAAGGTTTGTACAAGACTTCTCCACACTTGCATCCCCTCTTAATGAGCTTGTTAAGAAGGATGTACCATTCCTTTGGGGTGAAGCCCAAGAAAAAGCTTTCAAAACCCTAAAAGAGAAACTCACCAATGCACCCATCCTAGCTCTTCCAAACTTTGACCAAACCTTTGAGCTAGAATGCGATGCATCCGGTCTTGGCATATGTGTTGTATTACTTCAAGGGAGCCACCTAATTGCTTACTTTAGTGAAAAACTCCATTGGGCCACCTTGAATTATCCCACCTATGACGAGGAACTCTATGCCCTTATAAGAGCTCTACAAGTTTGGGAGCACTACTTAGTGACTAAAGAATTTGTTATACACACCGACCATGAGTCACTCAAGTATCTTAGAGGGCAAGGGAAGTTGAATAAAAGGCATGTAAAGTTGGTGGAATATCTTGAACAATTCCCCTACATCATCAAATATAAGAAGGGAAAAAGCAATGTGGTAGCCGATGCTCTTTCAAGGAGGCATACCTTGCTCTCCACCTTAGGAACACAAATACTTGGCTTTGATGATGTAAAGGAATTGTATGAGCTTGATTTAGACTTCCAAGCCACTTATGCCAAATGTCTCCAAAAGCCTTTTGATGGATTCTATCTTCTTGAGGG